GATATCATGCCTTTGGGGTATTTATAGGCTGCTCGTTGGGTCATATTGGGCCTTAGAGGCCTTGTAGTTGGGCTTGGATGCCTTTTGGGGCTTTTTATGGATTTGGGCCTTAGGGGGAGGGAGGCCCATTGAGGCAGGAGTAAAGGAGCCCTTTTTTCCTTAAGTCAAGAATTAGGGTTTGGGGCTTGAGTTTGAGATCATCACTTTAGAAGAAGAAGAGCAATCATAGGAGAAGAAGAAGTCATTTGCTCATGAAGAAACCCTAAATAGATTTTTAAAGGAAGAATATATCATTTATTGTTTTGTCAAAAATTATTATCCCATGTCATAATAGTTAAGCCAAGTCATCATTTAACCTGTAAGAGCCAGTTCCGATGGGTAATATTTGAACAAAACATATAGTCTGTTGGTGTTTTTTGTACAAAAAGTTTACTTGGATGGTGTTTTTTGAACATACCCAACTTGGATGGTGTTTTTTGAACGATTTTGAAACATAGTTACCCATTTGACTCATTTCCTCTTGTTTTTTTTCTTTTACTTATTTTTTACCGGTAATTGCTAGTTACCACAAGGTCAAATTTGAACAAAGAATGTACTTCGTTGGTGTTTTTTGTACAAATGTTTTATTTGGATGGTGTTTTTTGGACACACCAAACTCGAATGGTATTTTTTGAACGATTTTGATACATAGTTACCCATATAAGTCATTTTCCCGTTTCGTTTTGTTGCAAGTTTAGTCCAATTTCCTATGAACTTTTTTATAATGACGGATTTGCCCTTATTATTTTATTTTCTATTTTTCTTTTATTACAACAGTTAAAAAACAATTAAAAATAATACAAAATCTCTCTCTCTCTCTCTCTCTCTCTCCCTCCCTCTCCAAAATCATTTACCTCTTCAATCTTCATCCACACACACATGTTTTACTTCTTCTTCTTCTTGCATACGCCTGTTACCTCAAAGGTACCTTCTTTTCATCTTCGTATCTATCTGTATCTCACTTGCTACCATATACCAATTCTTTATGGTCTATTTTGTTCCAGATCCTCATCTCTTATTACGACTTTGATTCTATATGTTTCGGAATTCCTCTTTTTGTTTTAATTGTATATGCTGAAAATTTATCTGAGATCTATTTTATACTCATCTTTGGAAAATAAATTGCTTTACCTGGGACAGGTCTACATAGTTGGTATTTGTTTTCATTATTAGCTGTTGTGGTCTTTGGGTTTTAGTTACTTACTTGGTCACATTTCAACCGTTGCGGTAGACTAGATTTCTCATTCATATACTGTTATCTAACAAATTCGATTGATTTTGAACAGGGAGTCTTCTTTTTTCAGGATCAAAATGCAATTAAGAGTTGTTCCCAGAATCAGTGACCCAGAGAAACGAGATTAGAGTAAACAACATCTTGGAAGAGTTGTTGTTCTTCGTGAGTACATTTATATGATACTTCTTCTTTCCCCGTTTTGTGTAACCCTAAATCGATGAATCTTTCAAGCCCTAGAGAGTTTTTTAGCTTCAATCTGACCTCATTGCTGTGTTGTTGCACACATCGGATATAACCAAAATCCAATAATTGCATTCCGTTTCACTCACAGGTGAATTGTTACAAACGCCTAATACGTATCATCAAAATGAACTAGTTTTCGATGGAGACGATTTAGGCTCAATCTGAACCTGCTTCACCGATCTGAATCTCCCTCTTCTTCGATTTTGCATGATGGTCGCTAAGATTTTGTTGCATCATGCGTCTGCGTAATGGAGTTATGACCTAGTTTTAGGGATGACAGAAGGGAAACGGGAAAGGGGAAGGTGGGTTGGCGTGTGGTGAGATTTGATAGCGTAGGTGCCTTGGAGTGACCGGAGATGCCTTGGAGTCGCCGGAGTACTCGTGTTGGCGGTGATACCGGTGGAGAGGAAACACACTGTAGAAGAAATAGGGGAGGGAGACGACGCGTTTGGGTTTATAGCTTATTTTATTTTATTTTGTTTTATTTTTAATTGTTGTAATAAAAGAAAAATGAAAAATAAAATAATAAGGGGCAAATTCGTCATTATAAAAAAGTTCATAGGAAATTGGACTAAACTCGCAACAAAACGAAACTATTGGACCATCCTTGCAAGCCAAACCTATTTTGGACCAAAGTTGCTAGTTTTGACATACCACAGGGACCATTCTTGCAATTTTGTCTTTAGTTTATTTGATTGGGAAGAGGCCCATTTTCGGCCCACGGTCCAACAATAGTGAGTAGTTATAAAATACAATTTTTTTTCTAACTTCCCAGTTAGGTGTGAAGTTCTCACCTCCAACTTTGATTTCCTCTACGTTACTTGCGATTTCTTTTGCTAAATTCTTGATTTTTTTATTTATGTTCCCAATAAAGTATGTAAGTTTGACTACGGTTTTGTTGCGTTTGACTATGATATCTGACATCATGGAGTATTAATCCGTACAATTACACTAGATTATATAGAAAAATGATGTAAAAATGGTTAGATTTTTAGTTTTTTTTCGGTTATTTTATGTTTGTATTGAAATGAGTTCTAGTGAATATATCGTTGTCCTTGTAACTGGCAAGATGTGGGAGATAGTTGAGAAAAACTAGAATATGTTTAGCAAAGTATTCATCTTCACCCGTTTATAGGAGCTGAGAGTTTTTTCGAATATGAAAGTGTGAAAATGAAATTGATTTCAAAAAAACTGAGATTTATATACTTTGGCCCATGGTTCAAAAAACGGGCCACTTCTCAGCCCAATACGGTAACCTCCCAGGTGGAGGCTCTAATTTCCCAGTTGTTGCTAATTACTTGTGAAGTTAGTGACTTTTTTCAGAAAAAAACTATTTTTCACTATTTTTTAAAAAGTAATTAAAGTTTTTGGCTAAATTTACAAATTTCTCTTTTTAGAACTGTTATAGTTAGTTCATCCATTATTTTTAATAAAGCATTTAAGATTTATTCGATACTACAACAGTGACCCATTTCGACTCTTCACTTTTTAAGTCTAGAATCATATACTAAGGACCTCGTTCACTTGAACAATTACTTTGATACCAACTTGTAACATCCAGAAATTTGATATAAAGTGCACCCAAAAATTTCTTTAAATATTAAACATCGAAGAAATATGCCCGCCTCCTCCACCAATGGGAGGGGACAAAACAAAAGCTCGAGTAAAAAACATGAATCGTAAGGACATAAAATTTAAAAAATATTAATGGTTCAATTCATAAATAAGAAAAATTAAAATAAAAATATCAAATTTATATTCATAATTTAGATATATACAAAATTTATATTTATAATTTATATATATACAAAATTTTAAATATAATTACACAAATTGTGTGTAACGTTTTTTGTATATTGCAAATTTGGTAAAAGAGTAAAATAGTTATTTCATAAAAATCTAACAGCTGAAAAATTAGTTTTAGGGTAAATTACACCAATCGTCCCTCGTGCATATGCCAGAAAGCGTGTTTAGTCCCTAATTTCAAAAATTAACTCAGTCTCTTATATGGTAAAAAGGTGCACGCTTCATCCCTCGTTAGTTTAAATTTGTATATTTCATCCCCTGTGATACATGAAATGACTCAAATGCCCTTTGTAATTTCTTTTTCATTTATTTTGACATTTACGTTCTTTTTAATTATTAATAAATATTTTAATTAAGATTATGGGTCCACCTAGCTACCATCATCACTTGAAATCTACACCACCAATAGAAACTTGCACAACTACCATCGAAAATCTACCAACACCTTGTACCACCCAACTCCCCGGTTCAAAGCTCAAGACCACCACCCTGCTTCCATCAAGCCACCTTTCACCTCCTCCTTATACCACATGTTCAAAGCTTAAGACCACCACCACCACCCTCCTGTACAAACACCAACAAACCAAAAAAAAAAACCCATTCGAACACCATCTGTCACCGCTCCATCATCACTACTGGAAAAATCCACCTACACCCTCAAACACCACATCTGCCACCTCCATTGCTATCAACTACCACCAGCAAACAAAATTAAAACAATAATCTGATGTAACAATCTTAGAAAAACCACAAACCTAAATCTACTCGAATTAGGGCAAAATTAGTTTGATTAAATCCAAAACCCAAAATCATTTTGCTCAAATATAATCAGAAGAAACACAACCCCTAAATCAGAGTTTGAAGTTGGGTTTACTGTGATGGTCTTAAGAGAAATCAAACCCCCACCGGAAATCGACACACAACCCCTCGCATACTTCGGAAAATCAACTGATATCGACACACAACCCTCGGGATCCCCTATCGGAAATCAACACTAAGGTGATGGAAAATTTAGAGTTGCAGGTTTTCGGTCGACAGTGTAATCGTTGAAGGCGACTTCATCGTTATCAACGTCTCTCGTTAGAATCCAATTTACAGATACAAAGACAGGAGAGATAACATAGTTATTTTCCACAACGATGTCGATGGATCTAGAGTTGTAGAGTCGTAATAAGGTTTTATCTTCGGAGAAGTAGTGAGAGACGGAAGCAGAGTAGAGAGAGGCAGTCTGCCATTTTTGTTTCAGGTGAGTTTGGGGGGACGAAAGGAAAATGAGGAAAGGGAAGGGGGAGGTCCGATCAAGTGGAGATATTTATTTATTTATTATTTTCTTTAAATTTAAAATTTATAAACAAATAAAAGAAAATTGAAAAAGAAATTATTAAGGGCAAAATAGTTTTTTTATGTACGAAGGGACGAAGCACGCAAATTTTAAGCAAATGAGGGACGGTCCGAGTTAATTTTTGAAAATAGGGACTAAACACGCTTTCTGACATATGCACGAGGGACGATTTGTGTAATTACCCTTAGTTTTAACTTTAGAATGAGCGGTTATGAAATATTTTGTCTTGTTTATAATTACAAAACTTCAAAGGATCAATGAACATGTCAGAAATAAATATACAACTTATGACTTATGAACCAGTATCATTACAAATCACAAAATAAATAAAGAAATCCTTATGAACAAGTATCTTTACAAAGGACAAACATATAATTCTGGCTTTCCAAATTCGTCACAAAAAATTTACAATTAAACTGATTAGATGGAAATGCAAGAACATATCCCAAAAAATTAGATTTATTAAATCTTTATCTCAAACTGCACATTTAGAAACTAGTTACAATATATAAAAATGAGACCAAAGATATTATTTAAAAAAAAAAAGTTTTTATTACCTCAAAACGACATTAAAACGCCCATTTTGGTGAAGAGTGAACCGCACTGGGCCTACTACGAGACCTATTAGCATTAGGCCACTGCTCATTGTTCCGTTTCTTCATAATCGAAGACACGGTAGGGCTATAATAGTCATTACTCCTATGAGAGGTTGCCCCTTGTGAAAAGACCTTTTTACCCTGCTGAATATAGCTTCTCTGCTTTTCAAGCGACCTCCCACGAGCCACCGTGTTCCCCTGAACCGGCACCCATTTTCGGTTGTAGTTTACACAGCTTTGGCTCCTCCCAATCCCAACTCCTTTCTGACCAAAACGCCCTTCTTTAGGACTCGGGTAGTTACGGCTCTCAGCTGTTTCAGCCGAGTACATCGTGGTTTCCCCTTCACTGATATACCCATTTTGCCCCTCTGACACCGACACCTCACTCTTGGGCCCGGTCACCGAACCCATCTCCGCTTCTGATTGCTCTTTAACCACCGGCCCAGATGGTTTAGGATTAGGATTAGAAATCTTATTGGTCTTATTCTTAGGAGGGAAGTTGATATCCAAAAGCTGAATCTGAGGGGTATTTTGGTAATTTCTGAAAGGACCCGAGATCAATTTTGGCGACTCGTATATCTCGGGTGTCCGGATTCCTTGATCACGGGTCGGGGTTTCACCTATAGAAGAACTGGAACTGGGGTCCGATTCTGGGTCCGGGTCCGGTTGGTCTTCTGATTTTGAGGTTATGTTTTCGGGTTGGTGAGGATCGATTGTTTTAAAAACTTGTCGCATAGTGAAGGAAGTACATGATTGTTCACTTTTTTGACCTGTGGACATTAATCGAATGAGGGGTAATTTTGGTTTGTTTACCAAATCATCCAGGTTGCCTTCCCAATTTTGGTTTAACCAATCACAGATTACAGGAATCGGGATTCCAAATTGCAATGGGAGATCTTTTTTCCATGATGAAGAAGATGATGAGGTGGTGGTGGTGGAAGAGGATTTTGTGTTTGGGGAGGTGGCTAACTTCATAGGGTCACAGACCATGAACGAGAGGTTACCTTGTGGGTCGAACCCGGCCGAACCGGGGCTCCATGTGACTCCATCGGTGCAGACCTTTATGAGATTGTCGGTTGCTATCACCACCTTTGCTTCACCAACAGTTAGCTCGTTTTTATCGGTGTAGCCTAGAATATAGACTATGTTACCCAGGTTTAGACCTGATTTACAACAGGTTTGCAGGTAGTGAGGTTGCTGATTTGGTGCATTTGAGTCACCATCCATGGAGTCTACGCCCACTATTGTTAGATCCAGAACAGAGCTAGTTATGTAAAACCTGTTATTCGATTCGATGGTGTGTGAGCAATTAATTATAAGTTATAACGATACCATTGTTCGAAAAAATGAGGGGAGAATTGAATAAATCTAGTTGTTGTATCAAAATTGAGCTAATTCCATTAGATCTGGCGATCTACCATCGCCAATTTCTTGAATACAGATAGTACACAACACATACATATATAACATATTAACATCAGACCAATTCGACGCATTAGCTGCATAGATACCTGTGAGGGAAAAGGGAAGCGCCGACACCGTTTTGAAGCCGGATCTCGGCGGCCTCGGCGGCAGCTACCGACGGAAGGATGGCGTGTGTTGTAAGGAGAAGGTTCCGGTGGATAAGGAATCCGGTACCGGAAACCAATCCGTCGGTGAATATTCGAGCCATAGCGGGACCTTTGCCGGAGAAAATGGAGGCTTTGGTTCTCTCCGACTTTCCTCCACCATTACAAAAACACCATGACTCCCCTAAAACCCTCATTGCTGCTTTGAATCCTCAACTGTTGACCCTTCAGAAGCAGGAATGTAGGGAAAACATTTTGGGTGTGACAAGGAATGAGTACATGTGAAGATTTTGGCTATGACGTTTTGTGTATGCTAGTTGAAAAGAGCTTCTTACGGGTTGTTAATGGTGGCTATGGGGGATAAGGAAGGGGACGAGAAGCTCATGAAATTCTTAGAAGGGAATTGAATGCAGCACAAGGTTTCAACGTTCAACCAGCTAATTTAAGGATGAAATGATGAATTATTAATTATAACGGTTTTTATTTTTTATTTTTTCCAAAAAGTAAAGCAAAAGTGAGTTTAATAAATCAAGCCTAAAATCTAACTGGTTGTGTTTGATTTAGTTCCTGATTTTCCATTTCTCAAAAAATCGTTTTTCGTTCAAGATCTTAAAAGAGTATATATTTAGTTTGGCCAGTTCCAAACTGTGTTTTATTAATATGATTATTATATATATATATTAAAGTTGTGGAAGAAATGAATAGTAAAGTTGAGTAACTTTGTCCAGGTTTGGTCCTTTGATTTACATATCCGGTCCCTATACTTCTTTAATTAATTTATTCATGTCCTTTTGTTTATGTTCCATTCAACTTCCCATTTTTTTGGCAGAATTGGTCCCTGTATTATTGTTGGAAGTTAGGAATACTAAATTTGGATTTTTTTTGGCAACTTTGCTCATTATTCTTTACCCATTTTGACACTTTTGGTCCTTGCAATCAATATTTTTACACTTTTTTGGAACCTTTTAATATTTAAAGTTTGGCCACAAAACTTTAACGGTTTGACAACTTTGATCCATTTTCTAAAAAGTTGCTAATTCCTACCCCTTTAATTCTTTAGCCATTTTCACACTTCTGGTCCTTACAGTCAAAACTTTTATATTTTTTGTCTGGGGCAAAACCCAGACTTTTCATCCTTGCACTTTCTATGTATGTCATATTTATCAATTCGGAAACAACATTGAAAGCTTCTGTCCTCCGCGTAGCGGGGGTAACCTTTCTAGTTATAATTATAATAATATAAACTAAATTATTAAAACCTTTTTTCATCGAAACATCTAAAAGAATATAAAATCTTAACAACCCTTTTATGTTTTTCCTCTAAAAATGGCAAATAAGCCTCACAACTTCAATGCCACCATGATGCTCCATCACCCCATGTGCAGATTTGCAATACCAGCACAACCAGTTGCATTTAATTTCACTTCAATATATATATATATATATATATATATATATATATATAGATATATATATATATATATATATATATATATATATATATATATATATAAAAGCTAACCTCAGAACTAGGATAAATTTTATTAACTATTTAACTTTTATGGTGATAAAATATAATTTTAGGGAAAAAAAAATATAAGTTTATTAAATACCAAACCTAATAAAATGATAAGTAATTTTTATTGTTTGTCAAATACTGTGTATACGTATAAAATGATAGAAAGAAAAGACGTATTACACATTAATGACTTTTTTGTTTATTTAATAACAGTTTTTTTTCGTCATTTATAATAAAAAAACTTAGACAGAAATTTAATATCAAATAAATTTTTAAAAAATACTGCAACTCTGATTTTAATCAGATTCTATAAAAATACTTATTATTTGATAGAATATATAAGCTCAAATATCATTAATATTAAAAAAATATCGTTCATAAAAAATAATATCAGTAATAATAAAGAAAATACTAGAAAAAATTGTTCAGAAACGAAGCCTTGTATAAGGCCGGACCGAGTGGACCGCGGGGAAACCGCGGGATCGGTTCCCGCATGAAGACACACCGCACCGTGGGTGCGGGAAAGGAGTAGCGGGAAGAGGGTGGGGGGAGAGAGTCCCGCTCTCTCTCTCTTCTAACCATTGGCTGTGCGATTTTTTTTTCTTTTTTTTTTCTTTTTTTATTCCAAACGGCTATATAGCTGTGACATCCCTAATTTCTCGGCCAGAAAAGACCGATTTAATTTATGCTTTTTAAAATAAAATCAGAGAAATCTTTTTAAAAGATATTGCGGAATTGGTCCCCAATACAAAACATGATAAAAGTTTGTTAAAACCTTTCTTTAAGAAATATATAATTTCATTTCATATCAAAACCTCGGGATGTCATGTTCCGATACAGATCAAAAGCATAAACAAGACATTATAAGTCTTTCAACAGTTATTTACAACTACTGGTCTATAATCCAAAAATCTCTCATCGTCCACCAACTATGCTCGGGGTCCACTACCTGTAACATAAAAAGCTGAGTGGGTCAGGCTTGGGAGCCTGGTGAGCATATAGGGTTTTCAACCCACAATAATAATAAACTTATTAAGTTCACCAATCAACAATAACCCTGATTACCCGTTCCTGTTATCCTCACTTTACGTCCCTAAACACTTATCACAAGGGACCTAGTCTAAAGAATATCATCGGGATGGACACTAATGCTAACGAGTTTCCTCAGCCATACATGTCCTAAAGGCAACCATGAGGGGGATGGAGTACAGCGAATAAACACTCTAGTTCATTACACCTACAGGTTGCGGGTCTGCCAGTGTTCCACTGGACTGTCTAGGAAGTCCGTGGTCGTCATCCAAACTCCGCTAGATGACTGGATCTCAAATCACATCGAGGCCTCTCATCACTTTTATTTTATCACACATCACTATCTACCCATGTTTTACCCAACATATTTGTAGATAAAAATACATATACAGTTTAAAACTTGTATAAAACATCAATTCAACAGTCACCTCTGTTAAACAATTAATATAATTACACGTAGCACGTATTTCATATAAAATATTTCATATCTACGTGTAAGATGAAGGTGACTATACACTCACTTGATTTGATGAAAATCGGGCAGCAATTCGTTTCCCAAAACGTTCGTTTCTAATAAAACTAGGAGTTTTATTCAGAAACCGGGCTCTGCGAGGTTCGGGCTTCGAAACCGAAAAGATAAATTTTTTCGGGCTTCTCGGGCTCTTTGTGGCGTATTCCGGGGGTTATAATCGATACCGGGGCTTTGGGGAATGTTAAAATGAAGAAAATATGAAGAAATGGGCTAAAAGTGGCAAAATTCTAAAACTAACCGGAAAGGCTCGCATACCCCTTCTATTTATAGGGTCCGAAGTCGGTTCAGGAGGTGGGGTCCGCAGGCGAGGGTCCGCAGGTGGCTGCACATGGGCTGCGCGTGCAAGGCCTCGGTGTCGCCTCCTGATTGGACCGCGGCCTAGGGTCCGAAGTAGGGGTTCGTGGCTCTCTCGCGAAGGCTCGGACACGTGAAAGAGGACACGCGTCGGACAGGCATTGGACCGCTTCGGATGACTCAGCAGCTCGGATGACTCAGCCATTTTTCGGACACGTGGCATGCTCTAAGCGAAGGTGACGTGGCCGAAGCCACCTATGCGAAATTTCTCGGTTTTCGCGCCAAAACTTCTAAAATCCATAACTTTCGCATACGAGCTCCGTTTTTGACGTTCTTTATATGCACGCATAGGTAAAATTACGCTCTACAACTTTCGTTTAGACTTCGTCGGCTAATTTTGACTTTAATTTTTTTATATTATTATTTTTAACAAACCGGGACAGGAAATCCGTTAAAAATTCATAACTTCTTCATCCGACGTCCGTTTTCGTCAGACTTTTTACCGTTGTGCTACTAATGACAAGACCTTCGATTCTCGTTTAGGTCGTGTCGGCTAAAAATCACTCGATCCAAAATTCGAGTTTTTAGCTGTCTACTGCTAAGCTGAAACTTCGAAAAATCATATTTTCTTCATACGAAGTCAGATTTGGGCGTTCTTTTTATACCTACTCTCGGTTTAACGAACACTACGAGTTTCGTTTAGATTACTAAGGCCAAAAAGTAGTTTATCGAAAACTCACTTTTTTTACGACATTCGGCCCCGTGCCGGTTTTGTCGCGAAACTTCGACAGGTCATAACTTCTTCGTTATAACTCGGATTTCGGTATTCTTTATATATCCGTAATCCTTGTCACGCCCAATACAAGTTTCTTAATAGATATCGGCTTTATCTAATATTTATTTTTGACGCTCATTTTTATTCTTAATTAATTAAACCCTAATAATTAAGCATAAAACACATAATTCACATAATATTCACATAATTCCTTTTTATTTCTTCAAAATGAGTTACAAAGGTTAACATAGACTATAATGTCAATATTAATGCCTAGCCTAGAAACACGGGCATTAAAAATTCTCTCCCCCTTAGGATGATTCCGTCCCCGGAATCACACATCAGCAAACAAATGCGGGTAGCGACTCATCATGTCACTCTCCATTTCCCAAGTGAGATTTGGGCCATTCGTATGTTTCCAATGCACAAGCACTAAATCGACCATCTTGCGTCGCAACTTCTTAGTCTTACGGTCAACGATTGCCTCAGGTTCTTCGATCAACCTCTTGTTTTCATCCAACCTTCACTCAGAAATCGGAATTATGTCGGGCACATCTCCCGTGAACTTTCTCAAATAGCACACATGAAAGGTATTATGAATACCCTCCAGTTCTTCCGGTAATTCTAGCTTGTAAGCTTGATTCCCGATCCTCTGAAGAACTTTAAATGGTCCAATAAACCTTGGACTCAACTTTCCCCTCTTACCAAATCTTATAAGTCCCTTCCACGGCGAGACTTTAAGTAAAACCGAATCTCCAACATCGAAGGATATCGGTTGTCTTTTCTTGTCAGCATAACTCTTTTGTCGATCTTGAGCAGCTAACATCCTTTCCCTTATCACTTTCAACTTTTCAGCAGTCTGATGGACTATTTCAAGTCCCATAAACTGCTTTTCCCCAGCTTCCAGTCAACATGATGGCGTTCGACACTTTTCTCCATACAAAGCGTGATAAGGTGCCATCTAGATGTTCGAGTGGAAACTATCATTATAGGAGAATTCTATTAGAGGTAAGTGTTCATCCCAATTACCTTGGAATTTTAGGGTACATGCTCTCAGCATATCCTCCAATGTTTGAATCGTTCGTTCGCTCTGACCATCGGTTTGAGGATGGTAAGCTGTACTCAAACACAACTTGGTACCCAATTCCTCTTGTAGACTTCTCCAAAACCTTGAGGTAAAACGGCTGTCACGATCGGATACAATCGTTAACGGAACACCGTGTAGCCTCACAATTTCCTTCACGTAAGAATTCGCAAGTTTATCGATAGACCATTTCTC